CTCTCGACGCTGCTTTACCTTCCGCCAACCTTCTTCCCTCGTTTAACCCGGGGATAGCGCGGGGATGACGGTATTAAGGGCAGCTCTATTATTCGACCACCCAACCACTCGACTCTTCGCCTCGAGAATTCTCGAATCCTTTTTTTTTTGCTCCCTCATCCTTCTCCACCACCTCGGCTCGTTCTTTCCTCACTTCGCCCTTCGCGCGTCTACCCTAGGTACTTTTCTGTTACGGTCCCTCCGCTACGGATTCCTTCTCCCTTCCCACTGCCGAGGTCCTGTACCATCGTTCCGCGCCAGCCACCTTCTATCGAGGTCCTCTGTAAACAAACGCACGAGAGCGAAAGAAGAAATCGAAGGCTTTCCGCGTCCCCTCGTCCCGCTGCCTTCTGCTTTCTTCTTCTTCTGCCTCTTCCTCTTCCTAGTCTCGTCTCCCGCTACGCTGCTGACTTTCGCAAAGTTAAGCGAGTGGCTACGATGGGAAAAGCAGCGTGTCCACTCTCAGATGGGAATGGAATTATCCGACCATACGAGCACTCCGGCTATTGCGCCGCATACGAAATCCGTCGCGTCCGCCGATTGCAAATATACGCAGGAATATCATTTGCACATCGACACTTAATTCTCCCGCTCCGAGGGATAAACTCTCGTAAAATTCTCATGCAAATTTAATTACTTCATACTGTACTTCACTCTGTAAAATTCTCTTCCGTGGCGTTTAACAGCTGAAGCAGCTGCAAAGTACAATACAGAAACCACGTGAACGCATTCGTTGATGATGTAATTCGAAAAAATCAATTTTTTTCAAAATTTAAATTTTATCTTTAACCTTAATTTTAAGATTTCTAGGTTTTAGAGTAGAGGTTGTAAGTAGAGGTTCAGTTTAAACGAATCGAGCCCCTTGTCTGAAAAACTTTGTCTGAAAAAAGTAGTAAACAATTTTTTACTCTTCAAAAGAGAAGTTTTTGGCTATCTCCAATAAATTTTTTTTTATTGTAAGTTGTATAAATTGTAGGTTAAGTAATATCACAAAAGAGAATGATCTAACTCATTAAAGTATCAAGATGTAAAAATTCTAAATAAAATCAAAAGTAGAAGAATTTCGATTCAGAATGTCAAAAAAAGATATTACATCGTATGAATATTTAAACAATTATGAATCTCAGAGCAAGAAGAATTAGTCGTTATGCGACTTCTTATATTAAAACATGACTCGACGATACGATGTACGAGGTGGAGTATGTTGCGTACTCGGTTCAAGGCGACGAGGCGCTAGCAAGCATTGTCCCATAACTTTTACGGAGATGACCGCTTTTATGTTTCGACGCGAGGACGCAGTAGAGATGTATTAAAGCGATTATGTCGCGCGCGCAGGATGTGCACGAAGAAACGAGAGGCGACGTACGACGGGGGATGGGGGCACGTTCGTCGAGAGTAACGGTAGGTCAGAAGTGTCCGTCGTGGTGAAAGAGGATAATAAAAAATAATACGTTTCTCTCTTTATGCGCTAAGAGATCACGGAAACTTTCTGAAAATGTTCAAGCCGAAGGATATAGAGATCAATCGTTGACGTGTGAAAAAAATCGTCGGGATCACGTTGACGCGTTGCGAATCAGAGATTCGGGGGAAGAAAAAAAACGCACACGCGACTATCGATATAATGACGAGGGTCGATAAATGACGAGAAACCCGAAACTTCGAGGCTGGCTTAAAACTAACATCGAACTCGGGCAGATACATGTCTTCTGGCGTAATAGTAATCTCGGTTTCGAACTTTACGAACTCGGAATCCGTTTCACAGAAGAGACAGTCCGGTTTGGAAACCGACGCCTCGCTGAATGCACCCCTTAATGTACCCTTAATGCAGATCGTGTACGCGCATCGCGAAAATTGATGCGTTTCGAGACTGCGACCTGGAGGTGATATTTCTCTTGTTTTCCTTCTTGTCTTTTTTTCTCTCTTCGCACGGCGACGAGCGGCGAAAACGTATTAAAGCGTTTTTCCAGCGCAAAGAGGCGCAAGAGGGTGAAAGAGAGTCACCCGGGAGTGGAAGGAAAAGAGACGAAGGTAGAGACGAGGGCGAAGAAACGGAAGAAAGGGGTAGCAGTCGTTGACGGAGAATTGGGATGGTGGGGGATTTAGCTCCGGGAAAAATGGTTGTAGGGCGGAGAAGAAAATAAAGGGGAAACGGTTCGTATGAAAATGTAATTAGGGGAAGCGTGGAAAAGCTCAGCTCATTGCGGCCTCCACCCTTTTATTCTGCCACCTTTTCTCACTTCTTCCGCGCTCTCCTTCTCTTTCTATCCTTCGCGCAGGTTTGCGCCTTTTATTTCCTCCAATTCCTCTTCCATCCTCGTGCGATTCCTCGTTGCCACCAATTATGATTCATTAATCGCGGCATGCGCGCCGAAATGGCAAAATTTATCAACACGCGGAAATTTTATACTCACGATACGTACAACTGACGCAATCAAATTTATTTCCCGTCGGTGCAAATCTTGCGTTAATTTCTGTCGAATACAGCTCTTAAATCGATTACGGTCTTTTAACAATTACCATTCACGGGATAAAAGTACAAGTTAACTTAAAATCAGACGTGCAAACAGACGTGCAAACAACAGAAAGATTAGGTCATATCTCAAACTTTAAAAAAATTTTTTTATTAAGCTTCTTTATTTATATTATTAATATATATTTAAAAAAAAATCATATATAAAATAATAATCACGTATAAAATAAAAGATGCTGTAATGATACAAA